CAGTTGTGCTGTATGTAGTTCAACAAACAGTGGAGGCACACTGCTATGGACACTTCCAGTGTTATGTATAAACTTTGTCACATTTGCTTTCATGTTTGCGCCCGTTTTGTGTGCATACACAATTGTTTTATGTATAAAATTATTCCATTCTTTAAAAGAGTGAATTTTTTTCCCCCACCTCTTTCCCAAAATCATATTTTTTTTCCCTCTAAGTTTTACACACCTTTATTCTTGTTGATTTTACAATTGAATACATTTACAAAATATCAAAATGAGTAATATAACTGTAGAAGGGGTGAGCAAATGTTTTTTGTGACTGAAGCCCCTGGTCCTTTTTGCCACCTAGCAATGCCATTTACCCCCATGTATGCAAGATTTGGTTTGTAATTCAAAATGTGAAAATATGTAATAATGCCAACATACAGTGTGTGTTTAATATTAATTTAATAATACTGCCAGGAGGTACATGGTGAAGCTATTGTGGAAAACTAGCCATCTCTTACCTAGGGATACAAATGGTTAATTGTATGTAGAATCAAAAGCTGTCATAAGTGGATGAGATTTTTCTCAGAATATAAACCTTTATCATGTGCAGAACCTCGTCCTCTTCTTATTTTTTCTTCTCTTTCATTTTTCTTTTTGTTTAATTGATTTTATGCATTTATTCCTTTCTACATTGACTTTAAGCACATCATGGCTATATCGCCCTTGAAAAACCAATGTATAATTAAATCGTTTTCTTGAGAGAGTAAGTTTATTGGATGAAGATTCGACCTCTTATTCTCACGCTAGTTTTAATTTATATATGTATTTGTGCTCTTTCCTGAAAGATTCATTGTTCTAGGCAAATAGATAAAGCAGTGCTGGCTCCCCGATGTCTAAATTCAGAAAGGCATGAAGTACAGCTGCACAGATAATACATTCTCCCCCAAGGGCTTTGGCTCAGCAAATTAGGTGTCAATGGGGCGCCTGTACAGGCAGTCCTTTCTCTAATTAGTCTCCTGAGCCTAGTTGGTGGCAGGTAGAAGATGATCTAATCAATTGGTCTCTGTCTGATGGGAGCGATGTGGAGAAATCCTATCAGGCCGAGCCTGCTCCCACAGGTCATTCACCTGCACAGCATGAGTTCTCATTTTCATTTTTCATCTTTTATATAACATGATGCTTTTAGCCTTTCCTTTTTTTTAATGTACAATTTCCCCCAAAAGTCTTACTTTGTCCTTTTTGGAAAAGATGTTGCAGCTTGACATTTACTGCATTAATAGACATGAACTTGTCTATGTGGATTTGTAGGAAATAAAATTGCATTAATGCGAGGTTGTTCCGTGTTTTTTTAAACATTCGTCTGTGCTTTTCAAGCACTCACACAATATTTAACAAATGCCATTGAACGTAACGAAATCACCAGCTGATAAATACATTTAACATGACCTAAATCAATTCTAGTTATTTTGTCTACCTTGAAGAATGAAAAGCTGAATTGATCCTGCCAGGCATTGAACCTAGTACCCTGAAGTTTGAACAGGTTTTACTGGTGGACATCTGGGCTGTTATGCTGGCCTAATGAGGTCAATCTAAGGGCCTACAAAATATCATCAGGTTTTTGAGTTTGGTGGCAATTGAAACCTAGAACAAACTTAATGTCTGACACTACTATTATTCTGTTGTCACAGATCAATAAATGTACTATTAAACATAGAATGTGTTTGATTTATAAATAATATAGTACAATTGGAAACATGTGGTTATACGGTTTGCTCAACTATTGATACATGGTGAGTAGATAGAAGAATGTGTACTTTGAAATAGTTTTTTTCATACAATATGTATATTATAACAGATATTTGTGAATTATACTTACCGTATATACTTGTGTAAAAGTCGAGAAATCTTACCTGCAAACTTAATGTTATATTGCAGGCTCGACTTATACACGGTGTGAGGGGGATGGCTGCATCATAGTGGTGCCGCTGGACCGGGCGACCGCCGGCGGCATACTCACTTTCATGCTTTCTGACTGTGCAGCTGTCAGAAAGCATGAACTGAAGGAGGGAGAGTATCTTGCTCCCTCACGGCGGCGGGGGCGGGTAGCGAGAGGGAGGACGACGGGACATTGATGTCCTTGGGACCGGCGGGAGCACATAAAACCACTCTCCCGCCGGTCACTCTCTCTTACCCCTCCAGATGCGCCGGCCAAATGAGGCTTTAAAGCCTCAGAGGGGATGTGAGCTGTGAGGAGCGGCAGTGGCTCGCGGCCAATCAGATCACATTATGTTAAGGGCTGCTGGGATACATGACGTCATATCCCAGCGGCCAAGTGTTGGAAAGTGAGAAGGCTGGCTACTGGTAGACACTTGTTTAATTTATATTTTAAAAAGTGTTTATAATCTAGTGAGTTTGTGTCAGTGTGTGTGTATGTTTGTTTCAGTAAGGGTGTGTTTGTGTGTGTGTGTTTCTGTCAGTGAGTGTGTGTGTTTCTGTCAGTGAGTGTGTGTGTTTCTGTCAGTGAGTGTGTGTGTTTTTGTCAGTGAGTGTGTGTGTTTGTCTGTCAGTGTGTGTGTTTGTCAGTGTGTGTATGTGTTTATGTCAGTGAGTGTTTCTGTCAGTGAGTGTTTCTGTCAGTGAGTGTGTGTGTTTCTGTCAGTGAATGTGTGTGTTTCTGTCAGTGAGTGTGTGTCAAGAGTCAATGAGTGCATTTGTGTATGAGCCAGTGAGTGCATGTGTGTATGTATATATAAGGAACAGTATAGGGTCAGGAACACAAATGTATTCCTGGCCTTATAGTGTAGGGCCCCTGGCCCCCTCTTGCCCCCCTTGACGCTGTTAAGGCATACTATGCTGCCCTGCACACTATGGGCTTAAACACTGTCAGGGCGGCATGGTTCACCCTAGCAGTGCAGCTGTTAGAAAGCATGAACTGAAGGAGGGAGTAGACAAAACTATGATGCTCCCTCGCGGCTCCCACAATGCACAGCATAGCCACATCATAGAGTAGTGTTTACTCCATGATGTGTCCATGCTGGGAATTGTGGTAACCATGAGGGAGCATGATAGAAAGACATTTGTGTTATATTTCCAGTCTCTCACGTGCAAGGTCAGCCTCGGGAGAAAGGGAATAGAGAGACACAAGGGGAGGGGGGAGAAAGAGACAGAGGGGAAGACAGAGGGGGAAGAGAGACATACAAAAGGGAGGGGGAGCGAGACACACAGGGGATAGGGGATAATGAAACAGGGGCAAGAGAGAGACACAGGGGGAAGGAAAAAGAGACAGAGGGGGAAGATAGAGACTGGGAAGAAAAGGGGAGAAATGGACACATAGGAGCAGTGAGGGGGAGAAAGAAACATACCGGTACACCATATAAGGGAACTTGATTGACCATTTACTCTTGTTTGTTGTCAAATGATTATTAAGATTACATTAATAATAACAGAATAATATTTTCGGTAAATTCTTATCTTCAGAAAAATTAGTTTTGCAAAGAAAACGAGAGCTTCTTTCACTGCTGCGCTTAAATTTAAAGTTATTGAACGTGCAAAGGAAGCCAATAATAGTGTAGCTGCAAGAGAGTTTAGCATCAGTGAAAAACTCGTAAGAGATTGGAGAAAAAATGAGGCTAAATTGCAAGCCATGCCGAAGTTGAAGAAAGCATTACGTTTCAAAGCTACACCTTTTGATGGAATGGAAAAGGATTTGAATGACTGGATAATGGAATGTAGACAAAATGGATATGTTGTGACTCGCTCTAGCATTCGAAAACGAGCACTTCAGATGGCAAAAGAAAAATATTTGGCGATTGAAGGTATGGCACAATTTAGAGCATCGTCTGGTTGGTGCACACGATGCATGAACCGATATGGATTGTGTCTTCGTCAGCGAACAAAGATCGCGCAGAAGCTGCCTAAAGAGCTGGACGAAAAGGTTATGTCATTCCACAAATTCATTATCAAACAGAAAAAAAAGAATGGTTTCGCTCTGAATAACATTGGTAATATGGACGAAACTCCAATGACATTTGATATGCCTGGCAATCGAACTGTAGCAAGCTTTGGAGAAAAAAACTGTACTTATAAAAACAACCGGTCATGAAAAGTCACATTTCACTGTTGTCCTGTCTTGCCTGGCAGATGGCACTAAACTGCGCCCGGTAATAATATTAAAGAGGAAAACAATGCCAAAGAACTTAAAAATTCTGGCAGGAGTAACTGTTCATGTTCACCCTAAAGGCTGGATGGATGAGGAGGGTACAAAGTTGTGGCTGCGCAATGTGTGGGGCAGGCAAACAGGTGCTGCGCTAAGAAAATGTCCGTCGTTATTGGTTTGGGATATGTTCCGTGCGCATGTAACAGAGGATGTGAAGGACAAAGCAAAGAAAATGGCAACCACGTTAGCAGTGATTCCAGACGGCCTAACATCAATGCTCCAGCCATTGTATGTCTGTCTCAACAAGCCTTTCAAGGACCGATTGCGCAATATGTGGCAACAATGGATGTGTTCTGGTCAAGCAAAGTTAACAAAAGGAGGAAACTTGATGAAACCAGACATTGATTTGATAACGAAATGGGTAAAGGATGCTTGGGATTCAATATCACCAGAAATGCGGAATTAGTAATGCTATGGATGGATCAGAGGACGACGCCATCTATGAAGAGAAAGATGACTCGGTTTCATATACCAATTCAACAGATGACGACAGCGAAGACGACGTTTACGCTGATGGCATCACCGAAGAACAATGCCGTGATTTATTTGTACATTCTGGCGAGTCAGAGTTTGAAGGATTTGTATGAGCCAGACAATGTTTCTGCTATTTTGGAGGGCATGAATAAAAATTCCCTGTAATAAGTTTAAGGGATTTGTTACAGTTAATAAATTAAATGTCCATGATTGCTCATTTTTTTAATCCAGTTTTTAGCTGACATGTTTGATTGTTCCAGGTCTTACCTAGGTAAAATATGACAAAATTATAAAAATCACAGAATTTCATAGCCCCGAGTTTTACCCTCGACTTATCCACGATTCATAGCATATTTCACAATTGTTGGTCACAAAACTGCACTCTACTTATACACAAGTATACATGATATTTTAATACCGAACTCATGATTGTCCTAAATTGTAATTGTTGCTGAGAATTCATTTCTTTATTTATTTTTTTTATACTAGCTCTTTTTAGAAGGACGTTTGATGATCCACATGGTTAATATTTCTCATTTTATTTTTAGGACAAGACTTCAATTAACACAAAAGAAGAAGAATCAAATGGGATGCTAGTTTTTGAAACGGAAGCACTGGTTTTATTGACAAGCCTTCTGCGTACTGCGAAGTTGCCGATAACTGAACTTGGCAATACGTTATTTCACCGAATAATTTTCTTTAGGCCTTGCACGCAATATGCTACCTTGTGATTTATATGAAGATTAAAATGTAATCTCTATATGGCAAACTTTTTACTTTTTTTTTTGCCCTCTATTTTATTTGGAATCATTCTGTTTTTTTGGAGTACACAACAGTCTCTTATACATATATGCTAATATGTGGAATTTATTACAGTTGAACTTTTTTGTCAATCCACACCGGGCCACACACACTGAATATAACCTTTTTGTGGAGATATTTAATTTTCCTTTTTTTGACAGGGGGCCATTTTTCATTAAATGCCTTTCAGTTCCAGAGAAGTAAGATTTTTTTTTTTCTTGCTTATCTTTGAGTCTTTCAAAGGCTTGTCTTTTTTTCATATTACACATAATACAAACACACGCACACACATAGATCCCCCCCTCACCCCCTCCGAAATATGAGGTCCTTTCATTGTTATTCAAACTGTTAAAAAAAACGAAATTGTGTCAAACCAAGGGTTTTGTGTAAGCGGTGTATTAATAAGCTTTTTGAACATTTTTATAAAGTGGATATTCTACTTATTTCAAACCTATAACAATATTAATTTGATAAAAAACCAAGGGGCTACATGACTTAGACTAGTATATGTCTGAGTTAAGCTAAATATACACATGCTAAACATTAAAACCTGGGTAAAAGAGGGGATTTATAATGATTAAGCCATCACCCCTCTTAGCACTTCTACAATAAAGTAGGAAACTGCCCAGTGTGCTTTATTTTAAAATCAGCATTTAGTCATTTGATGAAATTGACTTTCGAAGATATTATCACTGTGTCTAGACCACTTTTTTTGATTGTTTTTTATTCTTTTTCTCGTGTCAAATGCATGAATATTGCAAAAAAAAAAATACTATTCAGCCAGCGTACAAACAAGCCCAACAATAAACAACGTTTTTAAAATGTATTATGATACAATTTGTAGTTCTCTTAAGTTTTAAAGAAATGGTGAAGTAAAATCAAAAGGACTTTTCAATGTGCTTTCCTTACGCATTCCATACTGATTACAAAATAACACTATATGCTTTTTTGTCTTTTCTTTGGCTTTCTCGTGTGAGCTGTTCAGATGTAAATCTGATATAATTAAAGTGAAACACAGAACACAGTTCGCTTTCCTTTGATATGCTATGCTGGGAATAGTTCCTGTTTTGCTCACTATATGTCTTTTAATTATTAAGTTAAGGAGAGTTAGGAGTTCTGTTGTTCATATTACTTTGTGAGCAAAGCTGGTAACGTAATCTAAAGTCAAGATTTAAAGCCCCTTCTGTGCTAGAGTTCCAGGCCAGTTTTTCTGGCTGTAGATCAAATACATTTTTACTTAAAATGTAGAAAAAAAGAGTTTTGCCAGCACGTAAAAAAAAAAAAAGGATTTTATGGCAAATGTCAGGTGGAGTGCTTGACTGTTATTTAAAAGGAAATAATGCTTCATTTTGCTCTGTCATACATTATATTCATGCTTCATATGAATCTGTGTTCCAGAGTAAAGTCATTATGTTTTATGGGAACAAAATTAAAATATACTTTCTACCCGGAGATGTCCTATACAGTCTGGCTTTCCTGTAATTAGAAATATATTTCAAATGTTCTCAGAAATGAAAAGTTACACGTCATTTTTATGGCAAAGGGCTCTAAATTTTGCTATAGGTAGTGTTTCCAAATCACTTACGTTGTAGATACTTTTATAACCATAAATAATGCATCCCTCACTGCCACACTGAGGATATCTGTGTTGTTAGTTTGAGAACGTTTGAAAACAATTACACAATCAATGTTCTATCTCTTAACAAAAATGTTTGGATCGCAGTTTCAAAATTAAGTTGCCAAGTTGTCATTAGTATGGTTACTAAATAAATAGATAAAATGGCATCTGTGACACAAATTGGAAGTATAGAAGAAATGTAATTACGGATCAATGTACAGTAATAAGTTTCTGGCAAATGTTCTGTTTATTGAGAATTTCTGAAATCCACCATGTCTTCTTTTAAATATTGAGTGACTTAAGTGGGAACATTGTTCAGATGTCAGTTTAGGGATAAAGTTCCCTGGATATAAGCTTGGAACTGAGTTGACAAGACATTTTCCCAAATTATATATACTATCAAAATTGAGAAAATCTAATATTGCACGTGAAGCCAGTAAGCATTTTTTTTATTATTATTATTTTTTTTATTCTTCCCGAGGTTGTCATGAAATTCACAACTGAGCAAATTGTCGTGATGCAAACAATTCTGCATGCAGCATAAACTTGGAGGACAAACACAATGTTTTGTTGTGGAACAATTATTTATTTTCTTTAAATAAAAGTAACGTCCCTTAAGTTTAAAATATATATATATACTTATTGAATTGAAAATGATGTTGTAGTGAAACAGAAATAACTGCTCACATTTTAGTACATTGTAAAGAAAGAACTTCAAGCTCAGGTTAAAGAATGTGTTTACTTTGTTGGAAAAGCAGATGCACTGTATCCAGAGGTCCAAAGAACGCAAAAACACGTTTTTTTTTTAAATATTGATACGCATGAATATTTTATACAGCAATCTACAATATATTTAAGTTTCAAATTGTCTACCATCCAGCATCTTGGTTATAACTCTACCGGGATGATGAAAAATCTGCAATAATATTTTGCACTGCTGTTTGTAGATAAACATTTATTTAATGCATAATAACATCGGCAAAAGGGCACAAAATTTGGTGCTAGAATTGGTACTCTGAGATCATAAAGAAATCCTACATTGAGCTTCTGTGCAGAATTTGTGATGTGTTTCTGCAATGTTGCACATAGAGTTAGGAAGCTCATAGGTGTATGGGTAACTTAAATTATTAATGTGCAAAAATGCTGTGGTAGGCAGGGCTTTCTATACACCACGTCCAGGCTGATTTTTGCTGTTAAAACTGACATAAGGTCCCAGATTTTTAAAGAGGAAATGTGGTCATCCTACCTATAAGCAAAAGTTCTGCAATAATTGTAGTGTCTGAAGCATGCAGTGGTTTCTTTTTTGCCTTTTTAAACTTTTTTCCTTCGTCTTTGCTACTTTTTAAAATATTTTTTCAGCCAGTCTTTTACATGTCTTACACTTTAGCATCTGGTAAATTGCAGCTTAACACTTCAATATAAAACGCATGAAATATTGCAACTTGAGCGCCTAAGTGGGGTTATCAATCTGCCTAAAAAGGCATACAGTATACATAAGTTTGAATGTATTTTAGAAAGCAATTCTTTAACAATCTCACTACCAAAAGAGTAATGCAGTTTCATCTTTGCCATTCTTCCAGCAAAAAGGAATATAGATCCCAGTTGATACAACATGGAGATTATACTACCTTATCACTGTGATATTAAAAATATTACATAACCACATATGCTAGTGGATTTATTTCAGTGACAAAAGCATTAACCAACTTAAATTTAAACTTTTCAATATCTGACACGCAACTGAGAGAATTTTTTTAAATTGTTTTATACGTAGACGCACACAAAGTTTTCAAGACAATTATATTTGCTTTTTCCATCTGGGAATATTTTCGATTTTTTTCAATGAATATTGTAAATATTTTTTTTAATTATTATTTTGGGAGGTATAACGCATAATATAATATACGCTCTCCTCAAAGTCTCATCTACCTGTCAATTTGAAAGCATGGTATTTTCCCGTACTGTGTTTAGACGGTGTGAATTGAAACTGTTCATAAACGAATGCACTTATTAAAGCATGTGCCGGTGCTTACTTGAGTACATCACATGTCTAATCAGAGGCTAGATCCCTCTGTGTGCACTTGGAGTCATTGTGGCCCCTAGCACTTAGAGAGATAATAGCGTCTTTTTGGGATATTTTCTTTTTTGAAAATGATTTAGTATATTAATACTAGGGATTGGGCAGAACTTCATACCAAAAAAAAACCATAGAAACAAATGGTGACTTGGTGAATAATATGTGTAAAATTGGCATATTTCTTCTTTGTTGTACAATACGTGTACATAGACATAGCTCACATGTGAATGCAGAAATACATGTGCATGGTGTGTGCACAAGTGCACATGATATGGCAAATGTGCGGTAGATCTAAATGTCAATAGAATTTTTAATTTAATTTTTTAAGATACATGAGCATTTCGTGAGAAACGAAAATATTGGCCTTTGATTTTGGAATATTGCCACAGGAAGAAAAAAACGTGGAATTTTTGCCCACCCAAATTAAAAATGCATTTAGCTTAGTACATAAATGAAACACTTATTTTAACTTCATAGTATTGTAGGTAGCTCAGTGTATTGATGCTTTACTTGTTACAACTTGTATTTTGTGCATTTAAATAAAGATGTAATTGTGAAAAACCTGTAACTGTTTTTGTGTTCTTGTATTATGGTACTGAATAAAGTTAAACTTAATCTTTGCATAGTACTTTTTTTATTGGTAAGTTATAATTCACATCACAACATTATGAGATAAGTTGAAGAAAAGAGTGTTTTCTTTTTTTGAGTAAAGCTGGTAAATTAGCTGTTGATCAGTTATGATCATGGGTTCCATAATTGTAATACAATTCCGACATAGTTTGATCCATAATGTCAACAATCAGATCTTAAAGGACCACTATAGTGCCAGGAAAACAAACTCATTTTAGGTCCCACTCCCGCCACGCTGAAGAGGGAGGAAGGGGGTTAAACACTCACCTTTCTCCAGCGCCGGGCTCCCTCTGCGCTGGGGACTCTCCTCCTCCTTCCGACGTCATCGGCAGAATGAGCATGCACGGCAAGAGCCGCGCTCGCATTCAGTAAGTCCTTAGGAAAGCATTTTCAATGCTTTCCTATGGACGCTGGCATCTTCTCACTGTGAAAATCACAGTGAGAAGCGTGGAAGTGCCTCTAGCGGCTGTCAATGAGACAGCCACTAGAGGCTGGATTAACCCATATGTAAACATAGCAATTTCTGTGAAACTGCTATGTTTACAGCAGGCAGGGTTAATCCTAGTTGGACCTGGCACCCAGACCACTTCATTGAGCTGAAGTGGTCTGGGTGCCTATAGTGGTCCTTTAAAGTAGTAGCTGAACATAATTGTCAATGAATTGATTAGAAGAAAATATAATTGATCTTTAATATATTGTTTTGAAAGCAATTCATGTGGAAATACATTTAGATGGCAAGTTCAATTGGATGATACTTTTAGTGAAATCCAACTTCCTATGCAAAAATTCAGTATTTCAGAAAGAATTGTTGTAATTCAGCTAATTTGGAGTAAACTGTAAAATTCTATTAGAATTTTTCATAATTCACACTCTAATGAAAAACCGTGAAGGTGTGGGATCTGATTATAATTATTATGGTAGTGATAGTCTTCATGAATTTTTATGAAAACAATTATCTTTACATTAAAACTGGTATAAATCTATACTTAATATACTTAATATATAAATTCATTGCTATAGTAACCAGCAACAGTGGGATATATAAAAAAAAAAAAAAATGGTACCAAGGCCAAGATAATAAACTAGGATATAGATTTAAACCAGCGTGAGTCAAACAAATTGTGCTGAAGTTATAAAGTGTGTATTTTGAACACACCACTTGGAATGTTTTGGAAGATTAATAATTTGCATCAATATCATGCTATGTTCACTCACCATACTGTGATCCATGAAATCACATTAGATATCTTCTCGATTTGTGTAAAATATGATCTTTACAGGTGAATGTTACGGGGGCTGTATTCTTCAGATTAATTGGGTTTCTTTCTTACAAACTACCTTTTTTTTCTGGCTGTTTGTTCCAAAACAATCAGTACCAAGGATATATAATTAAATAACTTCTCTTTCATCAAAGGAAAACTCATCAAAACCACTTCGTCATGCAGAATGCTGAACGCTAGATTCAGTGTAACTTTATGAGAAGCATTTGATTGGTGGAGGGCAGTGATTGCCATGCAAGTACCCAATACTCCTAGCGTTTTTCTATGAAACGCATTGAATTGGGCAGAAGTCATCACTACAGTTGAATTCACTGGCGACGAAGAAGGTGCTTAAAGAGAATTGACGGTGCAATGCAAGTGAGCTTTATAGCCATCCTTGTTTTAAAAGGGGTCTGACTATAAACACCAACAGGAACACCCTAACATAGTATATTAAAATATTTATTTTTAATGTCAGTGTGTTCTTTTAAGGTGCATTCCAGATCGTATACACCTATAAATACAATCAAAAACCCATAAATATACTAATAGAAAACATATAAATAAGATTAACAATTCAAATAAAAAAATAGATAATAATGCAACTTAAAAATAAAATAACCATAACAAACTCCATAATTCTTATTTATATGTCTGTATGGGGATCTAACCTAAAACCCATTTTGGCCTTATCGCTCACTTCAACTGGAAGCATAATAAAGATGACAACTTGATCATGAATAATCATGATCATCACAGAATAGCAAAATTGTCGGTAATTATCGAATGTACAAAATTCGAATGTACATTTATATCGAAAACATGTAAAATACATATATGGATAATACATGCATCACAACAATACATAAATAGAGTACCAGTTTTAGTGAGATAAAAAATATGGTGCTTATCACTCTTACTACCAAAACAGATGAAAACTAGACTGAATACCCAAAAGACACATTATAAGCGAAACAATAAAACAGAAATAATAAGAGGAAGAAATGGCTAGAAGAAAAAGGCACCAAACATCAGATAAATAAAACATCATCCAGAACACAGCCTACAATTGATCCAATTCCTCATTAAGACCATTAGGGGCAATAGAGTTGAGCTTAAAGATCCACTTAGATTCTGCCATTGATAGATCTATTTTCCTTTTAGCTAGATCTCTTTTAGCTGGAATTAATTAAATTTCCCGTCACTGAGATAGACGAGGGATCACTGTTGTGGAATATCTCAAAATGACGAGCGACAGGGGATCGCCTATCTTTATGTAAAATGGCTAGTCTGTGTTCTCTGAATCTACATTTCAGTGGTCTGATTGTCCCACATTCTGCAACCTACAAGTGCACGTCAACAAATATACGACAAACAAAGAATTACAGTTGATCATGTGGGTGACTGTAAATAATAATTAATATTATTATTTTGTCAGTAAAAATGTTATTAGCAAATCATGAAAATCTAATATAGCTCTAGCCCTTTTGCAACTTATTAACCTGTTAAAAGAAATCCAACAGCTAGTAAGTATGGTCCTGGTGTATGCTCCTGGGGTTACAGCCACAACTGGGTGATGCTCAGACAACTTTGGAGTGTCAGCATAGACGAAAGTTTTTCGTACAGACACATATGTGGAATACTAGATTGAAAAGTATTACATATATCAGAGTACCTGTGCAGCGCTGAGTGAGAGATCATGTTATGTTATCTGTTATCGTGTGCCTTGATTAAGCATTTGTGCTTTTTCTTACTTTTCGTTTTCGTTTCGTTATTATTCTTGCAACCAAAGATGCAAATGATCACTTAACATTCAGAGATGTAATCTGGTTGAAGATTGTATGTACAAGACTGTATGTACATGTTACCAGATTTTTTAAATTTTATTTGAAAAATGTTCAATGAACAAATTCTTACAAAATATATATATAAATACATATAATGCTTTCTATTAAAATAAACAAATATGTGTATTGGTTATAGTACTTAGAGTGTCCCTTCTACCAGACACAGCATCATTGTCATCTACTACTATGACCCTAAAAAGGAGTAGGCATGTTGCTTGGTTCAAACTCTACCTGTACTTGCACAACTGTTCTTCTTCCAGAAATAGGCAAGGATGAAGATGTATCTCCAGAAAACCAATGGAGACCACTTAGTCCTCAAAGACAAAACAACTTTAAGTGGAAATACCACCAACTCTGATTTGGAAGGGAAAGGAAGGGAGAAGAGAAGAACCATGGATGATTTCTATGTGAGTTATAAGTTGGCTACGTGTGGTAAGCTAAAGTACCACAGACAGGAGGGGGGGAAATTGCTAAGTTTTGCAAGCCTTGAGAGGACCCAGGGCCATCTTTAATGTGGGGCAAACGGGTCAGCTGCCCCGGGCCCATTTACTCCTGGAGGCCCAAACCAGTTGCTCCATGGGCAATGGTGTATCTGAGCATCTGCATGTATGTCAGGTTGTGTATCTGTTTGTCTGTATGTGTATCGGTGTGTCTGTATCTGCATGTGTGTCAGTGTGTATATCTGTGTATCTGCATGTGTTTCAGTGTGTGCAGGGCCGCCATCAGGGCATGACAACCGCAACGGTTGTCATGGGCCCGGCGGTCCTGGGGGGCCCGGACTGCTCAGGCCATCCGGGCCCCACATTCAGTGGGTACATACCGGGTCGCAGGGGGCCCTGCGACCCGGTATGTACCCACAGGGCCAGCCTCTTCTCCTGGGGGGCCCAGCAGCCGGTCACCTCAGGGCCCCCCAGAGGCTGGCCCTGCTGACACCCGGCGGGCGGGGCGCGCGAGGGAGCACTCTCTGTGTGCTTCCTCTTCAGCTCCCTCGCGCACCGTACTGATGCCGGAGCCGGAAGATGACGTCATCTTCCGGCTCCGGCATCAGTACGGCCGCCGCGCGCGTGGGAGCCGGAAGGAAGAGAGGGGAAATGAAGGAATGAAAGGGAGGGAATGAAATGGGAGGGGGGAAGGAAAGGAAAGAAATGGGAGGGGGGGAGAAATGAAATTTATGGGAGGGGAGGGAATGAAATTTATGGGAGGGGGGAAGGAATGGGAGGAGGGGGGAGGAATGAAATGGAGGGGAGGAATTAAATTTGAGGGAGGGGGAACAGGAATGAAATTCGAACAGGGAGGGGGAACAGGAATGAAATTTGAGGGGAGGGGACAGGAAATGAAATTTGAGGGGGAGAGGAATGAAATTTGAGGGGAGGGGGAGAGGAATGAAATTTGGGGAGGGAGGGAGGGATGAGGGAGGGGAGAGGGAAGGAAATTTGAGGGAGGGAGAGAGGAAGGGAATTTGAGGGACGGGGAAAGGAAGGAAATTTGAGGGACGGGGGAGAGGAAGGAAATTTGAGGGACGGGGGAGAGGAAGAAAATTTGAGGGACGGGTGGAGAGGAAGAAAATGTGAGGGACGGGTGGAGAGGAAGAAAATTTGAGGGACGGGTGGAGAGGAAGAAAATTTGAGGGACGGAGGAGAGGAAGGAAATTGGAGGGAGAGGGGAGAGGAAGGAAATTGGAGGGGGAGAGAAGGAAATGAGAGGGAGGGGGAGAAGAAGGAAATTGGAGGGGGGGAAGAAGGAAATTGGAGAGAGGGAGGGAGGGAGAGAAGAAGGAAATTGGAGGGAGAGGGGTAGAGATTGACATCCATCACACGCAATGCACCCCTTGCACACAGAAAAACACACAATGCATTACACACAGACACACGTACACAAGCAATGCA